CCTGATCGTGGAAGCGAAATACTGCACGCACAAATACTACGCGAAGTTCTGCTGTCGATCGTGCACCGAGGCTGGCCAACTACCCTCCAGAGGACCTCATCTGAACACGTCGAGAAGGAGGCGAAGGTACATCCTGAAGACCCTCGTCTAAAGAGAGCTTCGTTCATTTCCGGTGAGACCGACGAACAAAGCGAAGAGCAATTAACGATAACAGCTCTCTTGCATAATTCGGTTACTATTGTTAGTGAAATTCGACAAGTTACAAGTTATCGACTCTCTGGTGAATTTCTGTTCGCGTGAACGAGCAAATATTGGATTTATATGTATACATACTGCGGATTTTTGCGCGTTACGAATTTTAATTTTTTTTTTTTTTTTTTTTTTTTTGATACGAGATTTCCGTCAGACTGTCAAATTGATAACGAGGAGTTGATTTGAAACACTTTGGATGTGTCACGTGCGTCCGTAGCCTACTAAGGAATTAATTAAGGTCGAAAGACGATAAAACGAAATTCTTGAAAGTTTCCAAACGATACGAGATTGTCAAATGTCTGAAATTTTGCCAATCGATCCAATGATAAAAAAGAGACGGGACCGCGAGGGTATTAAGAATCGCACAAGATTGTACAATAATATTACATATACATTACGCGCACGTGCAAAGGGAAAGAATCCACAAAATGCAAAATTACTGTAACTTGTCTCGATTCGATAATGTTATATTAATATAGTAAGTTGTGCAAAAGAGGACCTGGACGCGTGAAGAAGGAGGGAACGAAGGAAAACGACGACGAGACCGTGTGATCGTTCGATTCGATTCGATTCAATTCGACGACACGTAGCGTGTGCCGCGTGAACGTGACGTTAATTCACTGCCAAAGCCTTAGAACGTCTATACATAGATACCTTTAATATATAATTAAGCAACAGCGAGACAGAGGTGCGCGAAGAGGACGAGACGCAAAAGATAGCTTATCTTCTTTCTCTCTCTCCTTTTTTTTTATTTTTTTTTTTTTTTTTAATCGCTGCTGTCTCTTCTTTTTCCTTCAATTCTGTTTCAACGTCGTCATCGTTCGTTTTATGTATGTATATACGATCTGACGCTAGAATCCTAGTCGGTCGAAGCCGCAACAGGACGAGAAACGAGACAAGAAAGCGTCTCTCGATCGATCGACCGATCGGTATCTGCTTTCCTTTTCATTTTTCTCCCTACTTCGTTCGCGTCACTGTCGTTTGGAATAACTCCTGAACGAAGTCCGGAATCACGCGGCGAAATATCGCATTAGAAGCCAGAAGCTGGAGTAATTTAAGACATCTGTGGATTCATTAACGATCCAAGGATACACCCTAGGTTCGAAATTGTTATTTCTCCTCTCGAACGTAAACGATCCGGCGAGAACTTGCTAATTTCTCATTTGATTCAAGAGATTTGAGAAGAAACGAAAAAAACCTTTCCTTTCTTGGAAAAAGCCACGCGTTTCTGTGAAATTTTGACAAAAGCTCCACTCCCGAAAGAGAAAGAGAAGACGCGATCAGTTTGACCGACGCGGATGAAAGAGCGGATGGAAGAGCTTCAATGGAACAAAGAAAATGTCGCGAAAGAACGAATTGAGATCCCCATGTCTTCCTTTTTTTTTTTCAAAT